GAGTTTAGACTATAGCTTATATACCTCCGTCGAGCTGAAGATGTTGGTGTTGTAATATGCCGCTAAGCCTGGCTTAGGGAAGCTTGATCGGTGTGAATCATGGTTTCAGGCTTGTAATACTGGGTTTTTGGATCCTGTTTAGGGGCCCTAGGGGATTACACTGGTTCATACAAAGGCTATATTCAGGCTTCATTGGGGAAACCTTCTAGGGGTACGACCTTAAGGGTATAACCCTGGAACCCTTGATAAGACCTGTGAACCCAGGAAGCCTTGGCGGCGTGATGTGGTGCTGGCCTAAGTGGTGGTTTCCCAAAAATTTTGGCTTACCATTTTGGGGGTCCCAGTAATAAGGTTTATGATAATACGGATTGGGGTCTAGATTGGGGTCCTTTTAGTTATGGAAACTACCAAATTGCAACGTCCAGCGGCAAGTCATTGCTGTCCTTGCTGAACTGCACGCACTGATTATTGAGCGACGCTGCTATGTCAGGTATCTGCACAACGATGTTGTGACTCATTGCCCTCGCAAGTTCGGAATCGACCGCGCTGGTCTTAGCGCCAAATCCCAGGAAGTTCGTCATAGCACAAGGTTGCATGGGTAAATGTCAACGAAACGCATCTAACTGTCCGAATCAGGTATTCTTCGATACTATGTCACAATGAAGCCCACACAGGCGCTCTACCAACAGGGAGTCTTATTCGATAGCTGCCAGGCTCCATTCATGGCTCCTATAGGGTTTTCCATAATCAGAAAAGATTTTGGTATTTTTGGGTCTATATTGGGTTGCCCCTATGTATGGAAATGATCATATAGAGCTACAGATGGCAGTGATTTATTCTAGAAATTGTTGCCGGTTTGGGGTTACCAACTCCTTTACTACACCTCGTATCCTGCTTGGAGTGCAAAACGAGACCCTAGGTTTGAAATTTATCAGAGTACTTGTGCGTGATATCCCCTGACTCATCGGTCGTTTGTAGGGAATGGATGCATGATTCCCTACAGCCATTAATTCCAATTATGGTTCCCATCAACTCTACATTGTGTTTTTCCATTCTTTCGTGATTTCCTGCTGACACACTAGCCCAAAGCCTGCATATTCCAGTAAACCTCATACTTTCCGCGTTTTTGCATCTGCTTCCCAGTGGATTTTCCATTTCCCAAACCGTTAACCCTAAATCCTACACCTTATTCTTTTCATTTGATTCTCCATTACTGGGGGAACCCCATGCCATGCGGTGCCGAAACCCCAAATACGCAATCGCGTACTGGGGGTTTGCAGGAGGGACTAAGGGAATGTATCATATAGGTTAGGTGGACCCCCCAGCCAGTAATAGTGACTACAAGGGATAATAGGGATTATATTAGGGTCCTCTTATATTCTTATCATACCACTCTTACAGGGTGGGAGGTCCTCCTAACATATAGGGGTATATACAGGGATTGTATTCCCTTATTCCCTACGAACCACCTGTAAGATAGGTTCCACGTTACTTCCCGTTCATTCCCTGACTAGAAAGTTGAAGCCATGCCCAGGCTATGCAGAATTCCTGCAAGCGGCTTGGATTTGTGCAGTTATTGTTATTTGAGTTACTGGCATTCCAGAATTTTGGGGTCCCTTTCTGCAGTTTAGAGTTTAGGTCGTAAGTTCTAGGCCCAGGCCAGGTAAGCAGGACTTTAGTGTTTTGTTGGAACTCCTGTTTTTGGAAACTCCCATTGGGGCGTGTATGCTTTATGGAGACTTGGGTTCTGGTGTTGTGGCAGGTACATCACCAGGGCCTTCAGTGGCGATGCAGGGTGATAAAGCAGTGTGACTCAAGTAATAGTAATAGTAAGAGTCATAGAATGACATTGTTTAGACTGCCGAGCCCTGTCCTGACAGCTATCATCAATTTCAATGATTTGTGGTGATTCGGCACAACAACAACAACATTTCCCTGAAAACACTTTGTTTATCATCATGTATGTGATTTGGCGAGTGAGGACTCTTCTGATACTGCGCCTACGCAGGATGGCAGGAGATGATTTGTTTTACCATGTTGTGCGCCGATGCATCCAAGGGCAAAGTTACGGATCGCACTCTTCAGGCAAGGAAGACTCACGTTGTTGCAGAGTGCTGCAATGCAGGGTTACATTCTGGGTTAAGTTGAAGACGCACGTTGGAGCCCACCAGCCACGTTTTGCAGAGGTTGGTTCTTTGCATGCCCGTCTCATAAAACCAAACCTTCGGCGGAATGTGATTGTACTGTAAAGTTCTTTTCGCACGTGAAAAGACAAGCAAACATGATATACACATGTATACTTATACATCCACATGAGCCATAGCCTAAACTACTAGTATCCCCTTAATAACCCCCATATAATCCCCTATACCACCCCCCTTCCAGCGGCTTGAACTATAGCCCACCCGGGGGGGGTGGGTGGGGGGGGCGGGGCGGGCGAGAAATGCGCCTTGCATCAGATTCCAGAGTCCGATGTCGGGCAGGCTTCAAATGAGCTATAGTTTAAACTCGTTAAAGGGTGGGGTTATATAGGGATGATAAAGGCACTGGGGTTTAGGGTCACTCCTTAAAGGGGGTGATATAGGGGATTGTATAGGGTGTAGGCTTTAGGGTCTAAACTCCTGAAAGGGGTTATATATAATAGGGGTTAGATAGGAGACTACTCTTGAGGTTATTCAGGGGGATACTATAAGTTGAGACTATAGCTCGTAAATGGTTCGCGGGGAGTTGTCAAGATATCCAGCAGGCATGAAACATCATTGCCAATGGAGCACGGTGGGCAGCCCCACCGCGGGTGCCTAATTTGTATGAATACCATACGAGTTATTCAAAAGCAGCCCATACTCGGAGGAGGAGTGGAAGAATAGTGAGAATGTCCGGCATGGGAGCAAGACTGGAGAAGGGTCCCGGGACAAACGAAGATTGATGGAGCTGCGCCATCCCCTACTCTGGAGTGCAGCAACAATTTCAATCGGTTAAGTGGCTGAATGCCTGTAACAAGGTTTTCGTTCGCAAAATATCCATCCCGCTGAACCTTGCCAGAATAACGTCCTTGTGGCAGGCAAATCATTGGTCGCAGCGACTCGGCGCGGCAAAACTGCACGGTAGATCATGCTGGAGAGTTGGATAGCGTTGGGAGCATGCCCAAGGTACGGATACAACGTGGGCTGTGTGCGACTTGATGCGAATCGAGCAGTCGCCACGCGCCCACAATAGAGTAGCCCGCGTGTACATGACATGAATGCCTGTTGCTTTTTTTTGCTGTTCTGTACTGCGTGGATGACAGGCTCTTCTCATCGGATTATGTGCAAGTGTAAGTAGCAGCACTAGAAGTAGGAGCAAGAGGAGGAGGAGTAGTAGCAGTAG